CAATTCCAGAGGATTCAAGGCCCTCTTTTGGACTTCATAGGCACATGACACACACAGACACATACATACACATAGTTTAAAGGGGTAGAGAGATGTAAAGATGGTCTAGTAGTTAAGAGCCTGTGCTGCTCTCGCAGACGACAGAAGTTTGATTCCCGGCACTCACAGTAGACTGCTTGCAACCATTTATACTCCAGGGGATCTAGGGCCTCCTTCTGGTCTCCACGGGCACTACACTCACGTGCACATATGCCTAGAAACACACACAGGAATACATAACTAAAAATAAAAACTTTAAAAAAGAATAAGTAAAACTAAATTTAAAGAAAAGGAAAGAGTGCTCGCTTTGGCAGCACATATACTAAAATTGGAACGATACCGAGAAGATTAGCATGGCCCCTGTGCAAGGATGACACACAAATTCGTGAAGCGTTCCATATTTTTACTGCCTCTGACATAATCTGATTGGCCTGTTCTCTCTCCCCATGAGGAGAGAGTAGCCTTACCAGGCCACAGAAGATGACAATGCAGCCACTCCTGATGTGATCTGATAGACTAAGATCAGAAGGAAGGAGAGGAGGACCTCCCTTATCAGTGGACTTGGGGAGGGGCATGTGTGAAGAAGGGGGAGGGAGGGTGGGACCGAGAGGGGAGGAGGGAGGACCTTATGGGGGGATACAAAGTGAATAAACTGTAATTAATAAAAATAACTAAATTAAAAAAAAGAAAAACAGTCAATAAGTAGAAAAAAAAAGAAAAGGAAAGAAAGATTTACTCGAAGACAGCTTCATACAGAGGCTTTCTTAGAGAAGGAAGAACTGTATTAATAATCTTGTCAAGTAACTGTGGCTATCTGTCTTTACCAGTGCTCTAAAGCTCAGTGAATAGTCGTGTCTTAAAAGTTATGAGCAGTGTGGAATCTGAAACCACATCAATGCACTTTCCTAATTTTTTGCATTAAAATCCATGGATCCATGTTTCACTTTAAGTGAATCTTCTACAATTACTTGACTTGGTAACATTACGCACTGAATATTTGTAATATTGTGGTTAAGTTGAGCTGGGCAGATTTTTCACAATGTCGACGCTACTTTTACAAAGTCACGCTTATTAATGCCACCATGGATCTCATAAAACAAATGAAGAGTCAGGAAGCTGGTAACAAACACAAATCATGTAAGTTTTTACTTGTAAGTACAGATCCTGCCACTTCTAGAAAAATTCTACCTCCTGTTTTCCTTGAAGTTACAAGCTCACTTCATTTTTTTTTTTTTTTGAGAAATACCCAAGTCTGCCAATCATTCTTTCAAGTAAAGATAACGTCCCACGAGAAATGAAGACTATTTCAAACAATCTGAGGAGTGATTTTCCTCCAGACGCTGACGGACTTCAGCCATGGCAGAGAGCTTTCTGTGCCCGTCACTGTGTCACAGAGAAAAGTCTCGTCTCAACGGGTCAGAGTTAGTAAAGTTCATAATTTTTATGGCTCCATCAAGGAGATCCTTAAACGAGCCCTCCTTTTTGCTTTCTCTGAGCACATGCGGTGAAGAATAGAATGACTAATCACAATTGTAGTGCCCCTGACTGTTTTTGTGCCAATGCCATCATTTTACCCATCTCTGCCTTGGGCCTCATTACAGCAAATGCCAACGTGGAAAACATCTTAATATTATTATAACAGTTTAAAAAACATTAATTAGCTCGTATTACTGGGAGGGATGCTGCACGTGCCACCACACACGTGTGGAGGGCAGGAACAACTCGCTGAGAGTTGGTTTCCTCATCCCACCAAGAAGGTGTCAGAGACAGACCTTGGGCCGTTAGGCACGTCAGCAGGTGCTGTACATGCCAAGTCATTCTTATTATAAAACTCCTTGGACCTGTAGACCCTCTGAAGACCATGCTCTTCTGAGAGCTGTGACCCCACTGTCTACTCATCGTTAGTAATCCTTGGGCTTAACAGGCATTTACACCTGTGAGCTAGAATTTATGAATCATCTTAGAATGCACAATTCTTTTTTTATGCTTAAATTTTTTTTATTTATTACAATTTATTCACTTTGTATCTCAGCTGTAGCCTCCTCCCTCATTCCCCCTCCCAATCCTACTCTCCCCTCCCTCTTCTCATCCCATGCCCTTTCTCCAGTCCACTGATAGGGGTGGTCTTCCTCCCTTTCCCTCTGACTCTAGTCTATCAGGTCTCATCAGGACTGGCTGCATTGTCCTCCTCTGTGGCCTGCTAAGGATGCTCCCTATTAGGGGGAGGTGATCAAAGAGTCAGCCACTGAGTTCATATTAGAGACAGTCCCTGTTCCCCTTACTAGGGAACCCCTTGGACACTGAGCTGCCAGGGGCTACATCTATGCAGGGGTTCTAGGTTGTTGCCAACAATTCTTCTTCTTTAAAGAAACTAAATTTGGCAGGTGATAGAGATGGGTGGATAGAGCAGTATGATTTTTAAGAAATACATGGTCTTAAAAGCCTGGTGAATCAAATACATTTGAGTCTAACACTATGGTGAGTAAGAACCCAAGCTTGTTGCTCATAGGTATGTGCACCCAAACATATTATTAAATTTTGATTTTGAGTTTCTTTGTGGTAATCTCTAGCATTTATCTTCCTAACATTTTAGATTGCTCTAACATTAAAATTAGTTTGAATATATAGCAATTAAAGGTGGACACAAATGACCTTAAACAGTGTTGTCTACCATTCAGACACCAACCTGTGATTTAAACAGAACAACCTCTGTTTATTTCTATTTCCTATTGTTATGCATTACTTCAAATAATTTTTGGAAAAAGGTGGAGGTATGAATAAATTCCATTTAAAATGCTTTTGGCTGTTGATGGAACACCTATATAATTAAAAGTCGACAGCATTTGCCTGAATGCCTTTAAAAGGTCGCAGGAAATGTACTCAGCTTGGAGGAAGGGCCAAAAGTGTGTTTTCAATTACACTGTAGTAAGTACTGTGCGGAGTCGGTGCAGTTTCAGGAAAAGGTGGTGCTGCGTCCATTTGGAGCCGCCATCCTGGCATCCTCAGTGGAGGTTCTGAAGGAGCTAGGGCCCTTGTCACGCTCACTGTTTTCAGCTCCTTAGGTGTGACAAGCCCACGGCAGTCTGCCCGGAACAGACTAACTTCAAACCTGATATACATTCCAAGTCACAGCAAACTGCATTTGCTCTGAGTTGAAAGACAGTCCATTTTGAATTATAACCCTAGGAAATTTACTGCCTCTTTTGTTTATTTGTTTGTTTTGAGACAGAGTCTTCATGTGAAGCCGTGGCAAGCTTGGAGCTTGCTATGTAGACCAGGATGGCCTTAGAGATCTGCCTGCCACTGCTTCCCCAGTGCTGGGATCAGAGCTGTTGGTCACCATGCTTGGGTTTAATTACCGTTGAAAAAAGACTTTTTTTTTTTTTTGAGTTGGTTTAAGGTTGATTCGTCAGTTTAAACTCAATTGTGTATGTGGTGTTCATGTCAGTAGTCACTTAAACCCTGCTTCAGATAGCATCACAGCATTCGGTGGGCGAGCGGGAAGGGGTTCATCTTGGGAATTCATTATGAGTGAGAACCATGTTCTGAGAGACATAGTCTCCTCCGAAGTTTCCTGATGAAAACAATAGACAGCTGTTGTCGTCTTTAAAGGTGCTGTACTCAACCATGGCTCTCCTTCACACCCCTGGAGACTTCTGAGTCACTCATGTCAGCTTGCAGCATGCCATTTTGATCTGCATCTTCACTGTGACTCCACCTTCTCTGATAAAAACATCTATTTAAAAATTGGTAGGAAAATACTTAACATAATAAGATGACGAGTCAAGAGGTTTTTTTAAAGCTCAAAATGGAAGATGTAGCTTAAACAGTGCACCTTTTTATTTTTTAGCTCTGACTCATGGCATATAATGTATTCCACCAAGTTCAAAGTTTCCTCTTACAAAGAGTTTTATGAAACAACTCTTCTTCAGGCCAATTTTTTTTTTATACTTCAATTATAGTAGCAGATTTTGGAGTTTTAAATCATTAAGAACCTCCCAGTGAACTTCTATACACATGGCTTACAGTCAGAGAGAACTGTTCTCCGCACTGAGTACCTTTTGTGTGGAGACGCATCCTTTTCTGTTTGTCTTCTTCATGTGTCTCTTTGAAGCGAGACGAGTGATTTCTGAAGTAATGGAAGTATATGGCTTAATGAAAAGTGCTGCCTGCGCTCAGACTGCACACCGGAACCGCTTCGGGGTGAGCCTCAGCTACCTGTGTTCTAGGAGGGTGGGAGGGTGAGTTTCAGAAGTCGTGATGCTGTGTGTCCTGTAGGCATATCCCCGTGGCAGCCAAGCCTACCCTCCGGCCTGACCTAATCTCAGTTTCCCCTTTTCTCAAGGGCCTGTAATTTTCATTTAGGCTGAGTTTTGAAGTGTTAACTCCACCGGGGCCGTCCAAAATCAGGCATTCATTCCACCCATCTATGGATCTCGTCATTTCCTATCTTTTAATTTTTTAAAAAAGATTTATTTCCATTGGACTGTTTTAGGAGAGTGTGTGAGAGTCTGTAACCTCCAGACTCAAGGTGACGGGGTGAGAGAATGAATCTTTCCGTGACAAAAGCCTGGAGAATTTTATACAGGACCAAATGTAGTTTAATACACAAAAGAAAGAAAGTGGTTTGTGCAACCTATTTCCTTAAAAAAAAAATCTGTAAAATAATGTTTAAAGAGTGGGGGGGCTTTCAACCCCCCCCCCCCCGCCTGGCGACTAGCGGGATAAATTTGAAGAAGTCCATCCCACCCCCGCACGCGCGCCCCCCATTCTTTCCAGACAGAGCAGTTGTAAATGCGAGGCTGAGTCCGCCCTGAGAGCCTTAGGGCACCTTCCTCTTTGCTCTGTGTGTGTGTGTGTGTGTGTGTGTGTGTGTGTGTGTGTGTGTGTGCGCGCGCGCGCGCGTGTGTCTAGCTCTCGCTCTTTCCCTCAGTCTGTGCCTCTGTGTGTGTGTGTGTGTGTGTGTGTGTGTGTGACAGGGAGAGAGAGCGCGAGAGGAGAGCGAGAGAGCGAGCTGCGAGCTGTGCTGCCGCCGCCGCTGCCCTTTGATCCCGACATTAGTGTTAGGGGCTCGGAGACACAGCGCGCGGCCATAGACACCGCCGCACCGGCGCTCGTTTATTACACCTCCCGTCACACGCGAGCCCGGGGCACACACACTCACACCTATTAGATCCGTTTCCATTGAAGAATATTACGCTCGGGGACAAGCCAGGTGCACGACCAAAAAATTAAAAAAAAAAAAAAAAAAAAGAAGGAAAAAAAAAAAAGAAAGAAAGAAAGAAAGGAAAGAAGAGAAGAAAACCCCTCTTCTGGCTCCAGGAAACAAGCTTCAGCCCATTGCACACACCGGAGAGAAGGGGTTTCCCCCTGCCCGCCCCCCAACTACCTCCCCGCTCCTGCCAGTGTCTGCCTGTCTGCCCCCACGGGGGTTTATTTGATCTCACATTAACCAAGGAGGAGAATGTGAGAAAAGGGGAAAATGCCCAGGAGGAAGCAGGAGCAGCCCAAGCGCCTTCCCTCACGTAAGTCATCCCTTCTCCACCTCCTCTCGTGCCATTTTCTCGCCCTCCCTCTCCTCTTTCCCCTCCGCAGCCTCCGCCGTTGTTTTCTGCATTAGTTTAGGGTTACAGAGGTGAAACTGACAAAGACACAGCCCGGGTTACTCCTCGTTTAGGTCTATGCCGAGGCAGCCATGTTGGTGATGATCAGCCCCGTGCCCTTTCTATTCTCTCTCTCTCTTTTTCTTTCTTTCCGTCGCCCCCCTCTCTTTTTTTCCTTGAGATCGGGCTTTTCCCCCCCTTCCCTCCCCCTCCTCACTCCGGGTTGCGGGGGAGGGGGCGAGAGGAGGGAGGAGGGGAGTAGTGTGGATGCCGGGTTTTTGTCGCGGGTGGGGGGAGGTGGGAGAGGTTGCAATCTTGGAGAGAGAGAGAGGGAGAAGGGGGGGGG